AAATAAGAAATATGCAAAGAAATAATTTTTATGAATTGTTTTATGTATTGTGTTTAAAAATAAGAAAATTGCATCGATTTTTATCGATAAACTTATTGTGGCAGAACAAATAATTTGAATATTTTGTAGTTATTAGAATTGCACACTCAAAAAAATAATCTTGCAATAATAGCTAAAATTTTCTAGGTGTAAAAAATTAACTATAAAACAGATAAATGATTAGCAACTGTTGTGATATTGCATATGTAATTACTTAATCAGTTTAGATGACAGAAACAGAATATATATCTGTATTGTTTGTGAACTTTAAAAAGAAAGTTTCTCTAAAGCGCCTATCTATATAAGATCAATCACGTGTTAGATCATGCAATGAATAACATTTAGCAATTGTACCTAAATTTTTCAGAAGCTATTGCTAGAACATTACTGCTATAAATTCTATATGTGACAATGTTTTCACAGATACGAAAAATAGCGATACATTCTTGTTGCGATATCTAGAAATCTAACTACATCAGCGAAATATTTGTTTGAGTGCATATAACTATTTCTAAACATAAATGAGAAATAAACTGCAAATCTTAATGAGAAACATTTTTTTGTTAATGTTCAACAGCTTAAAATTACGCCAGTCTACGATTCTCTTCATTAACGTACTGTTACCTTTGAAAAAAAAAAATGCTTTTCACCATTTATAGAGCCAATAATAGAATTTCTATCTTTGAGAAATTTAAACACTATTGTACATTGTAATTGTGATAATAAAGTTTTATTTAAGGTATTATAATGTCAACGTAAAGGCTATTGTACCTATGTTCAAACGATCGCGTGACAAGAATCATCAAGATCGAACTCGAAAGATGCGTACCATGCAACAAGTAGCCACGACACATCGTACTAGCGAATAGACGTTATAAACTTGAAGTGGCCAAACGCCGATAGGCCATGCTAACAGCTTGAAGGGAGTCATCGCGTATGCGATATCGTTCTTCCATCGTTCACTTGCCATCGGGTCCAGATAATGACTGTAACTGATGCCAATAACTTGATGTGCTCGGCAAGTCCGCGTAATGTAAGTATTCCATGTTCATTTTTTATTCAGCTTGAGACATATATCCGCTTATGAAATTGTCCTCGCGTTCTCAATAGACGTATTATTACAAAATTCAGAAGACTACGTCAAATTGTCGCTGAATAGGAATTTGCATGATTATTTTTTCTCCAAATTAATGCTATAGCATCGAGCGACTACTGTACCATTTTATTCCATACATACTGACAGAGGAAATGCTTACCGATGTGTCTTCTTTCACTTATATTTTGAATGTTCTACTTCTATTTTACAATCGTGTTCTCGCTTGGCAGCCTTGATGCTACTTTGGTTGAATGTTCTGAATCTAATCTGTTTAAAAAAATGATACGTAAAACAGGTAAATAATACATTATTTTTCTTATTTCATAAGTCATTCGGATGAGCAAAAGAACAAAAGTTAATGCGCATTCTATTTTTATCAAATATATATATTTATATTTCTAACAATTGTTATTCCATGAGCATAATTTGTAATACAGAAAAATAAGAAGCCGACGCTTTCAAAATATTCTTGAAACTATTAAGATCCATATTAAAGAATTTTCCCACTGTTATGCAAATGGGCACGTTTGCACGAGCTATTACAAAATATAGATCTCGAATAATATTTGCCGGCAAGTCATACCATTTGCTTAAATAAATTGCGCGAGAAATCGCTTGTGCTCTGAACGACAAAGTTTCACCCATATAGCTGTACAAGAATATTTGAATCATTAATATATTAAAAGAAAGTATACTTCTCACGACAAGAACAAAATCACTCATTGCCAACGACCAAATAAGTTGCAAACCTGAGGTTAAATAACAAATATAAGTTATTTATTCTTAACAATTAAACTATTTTCTTAAAGTGTAATTTTTTAATTATTCTGAAAGTGTAAATTGTACCTATTAAACATATAAGCGAAGCGTGGACGACCAGTTGAACGATCAAGATGATATCTAGCGTATCCGAGATATTTTTGGCTAGATTCAAGAGCAAACAGTGCCTATCGATTAGCGTGATCATTTTAGCTCTCGCCCAACTATTGTTCTCTTTTCCTTCGTGAAACCGCAACAGTTCCGAAGCGAGTATTTCCAATTGACCGCAGAGATGCATACAGACAGCGAATACAAAAACGTCAGTGCCGACGTTCCCTGTAGATGTACTGATCAGCTGGACAGTTTGGAGAATATAGATACCGAAACAAACGATCTGCGCGTTAAACGGGCAGATCATTTCCTGAGGCAATTCCACAACTCGCGTCTCTTCCTCGGATCTCGTGTTTGACGTGACGTTCCAAGAAGTAGGCTGCGTCACAAATGACAGAAAAGATCCAGCTATCAGTGGTATAAGAACAATATAAGAGGAACACATCTGAAAAAAGAAGACAAATCTGCCCAGTTTAGTGTAGCGAAGCATAACTTGTCGATGATCCCGATTCGTAATGTACGTCCAGTCACTTGCTGCGTTGCACAAGTTCTTCAGCAGGTCATCGCGATGCAACCGTATCAGGAATACCTTTAAGATGGTCAAAACGCCGCAGGCTATCAACATCAAGTGATCGACGAGCATATCCAGAGTGTCATCGTCACGGTGATTAATATATAAGCTTAGACAAACTATCATGATAGCCTGTCGACATAAAATAAGTTAGAATCTATTTAAGAATTATTATATTCTATAAAAAAAACAATACACAAGCGAGTAATATAGATTATATTTTAATCTAAATAATACAAGAATATATTAAAACCTGAAATAAATACTTATGTATTTGCTCGGAGCTTTATCGATTTACGAATAAAACCATGTTTTTTTAATTTTTTCTTTATTAAATAAGAAAAAAGCTTTTCCCGTTGCTTTAGCTGCGTTTAAGACGATATATGTAATTTCTTATTTCACGTATTTATATATGTCTATTGCCAAATTATATTACCGAATTGTGATATCTTTTTCATTAAATTGCAATTTGTAAAATAATAAAAAAAATAACTTAGGAACTTTCGATTTACCTGCGTAGTTATAACAAATAGTGCGCGATATTTCGCAAAATTTTTGCCATGATCCAATGGCCAGGAACCGATTGGCCACATTATTGGCTTATACAGGGAAAATTCATAAGACATTTCTTTATTCCACGTTTTGCACGACACCATTCTCGCATGTTAAGGGTTGCAGAGTCATCGAGCGCAAATGGGGCAGTTGCTCGCACTCATTTATTATTAATCAGGATACATCACGCTATATATCCCAATGTTGAATATTTTCGTGATCTGTATTACTACAATCATCATGCGTGGTAGAAAATGATCGTTTGTAGCAATTCGTAAAAGTGCAGTTCTAATACGTGTCATTGATGCAACAACTTAATAATAAAGCATATGTTAGTTTCCCATGTAGGGGATGCACGCCGTTGCACTGTGAATAATTCTGTTGAGAAATTTTACTGCAAAGTTTTTGTATCGGAGATCGCGATAAAAAAATATGCTGGAAATCCAAATGAAATATATTTACTAGAAGATAGAGAACTAACACAAAATAGTAGAATGTAATAGTAAAAATTATATATTACAGGTAAGTAATTCTGTGAATTTTTTGGTGTAAGATTTAATTTAAGTAAATAATCAATTTATGTAATACATTTTTCTACAAAATTTTACACAAAACTCCATGTAAAATATTATTTTACTTATCCTACCTTAAAAGAGGCATATTATTTACTTTTGAGGCCTCTTTCCAGCATTGCTCATTGGTCGATTCGCGTTATTACGTGTCATCGAGCGGTTATCATCGCGACGTTTGCGTTGATGATTTTGTTTACTACCGATCAGTTTTCGATCGTTATCGAGACGATTGCATTTGACAGCTTGTACTTTGACAGCTGTTTAATAGCTTATATCTTTGTTATTATACATAAAGCAGAAATATTTTAAAGAAAGTAAAAATGTAAATTATTATGTAAAAGAAAAAAATGGCGCACGCTTGTGTGGCCTAGCTAATCAAATTTTATGTTAGATTAAAACTTTCCGAATATTTATCCAAAATATTGTTTTATAATCATAAGATTCACAGTCTTTTGTGAAAGATTTTTCACGTTTTATTCTTAAAGATATTTGTATTTATTTTTTTTATTTACACACAAGGTTCAATTCATATAATTTTATTGTATAAAATTTCTTTCATAAATATTATATTTTAAATTTCTACCATTACGCGAAGTACAGAAAGATATGAAACAGATGTTTTTATAATATTCATATAAGTAGGAAGGTTTATTACGATGAAATTGCCAGCTTGTAACGCTACGGGAAATTTTGCTCGCATAATAATAAAAACTAAGCGGTTTTTCAATTTTTTAGGAAGATCGTACCAAGTTGTTTGATAAAATAAAGATGCTACTTCTTCCATTTCGGATTTCAGGTAATCTCCGATGAAACTGTATAGCGTAAATTGCGTTAGAAAGCTACAGTACACCATTGTGCTTTTTGATACCATAACAAAGTCATTGACTTTCAACGCTAGAATAAACTGCAATCCTAAAAAAAAAATTAGTATGTTTAATATGGATTCTTTTAATGCAATTTTTTACATAGAAAATTCTAAATAATATAATATTCACCTATTATACATAAAAGTACACTAGTGACAAGTAACTGCATCAGTAAAATGAAACTGATCGTATCGCTAAGTTCCCGGGCCATTTTTATTAAATAGCTATGCCTTTGAATTAATGCGTTGAAACGATCGTATACTTGCGGGCTTGTAACATCAAAATCGGCGATATTGATTTTCAAAATTTTCACTTGACCACAAAGATGCAATGCAATATTGTGAAACAACAAGTCATTTCCTTTATAAAAAAATACATTAATATACAGTACTATAATTAAAAGACGTACGTCAAAATGTGTGACAGAATTTTTGTGTATCATTTTTATAATCGTAAAATAATATATTTTGACTTTTATTTTTTACAGATTGAAATTTTGCGATGTTTATACCTTTTCTGTATATTTTATCATATTTTTTTACGTTGTGCAATGCTTAATGCAAAAGTGAAGTTATGGAGTTTAAGTTTTTCAGGTAAGTAGTGCGCTAAACATGTTGGTAGTCCATCTATTAAATTTATTAAAGCTGATCTGCCTTAATGCAAGTTTGCACAATAGCTAAATATGAACAATGCAGCCGCACGATGCATAGAATATTTTATGAGTGATTTTATAGTCTTTAGGACCACTCAGTTGTGCAATGTTGCATTAATGCATTTTGAACTAATTGTAAGTGGAACCATGAAATCTCAAGAATTTCCGCGTCCTATGTGGAATGTAGTTTACTATAAACACAAACATAGGCTGCATTAATAAAATTAATTAAAAAAAAACCGATATATGGAGTGATATAATTTTACTTTTGAAATTTTCGTAGTTTCCAAGTGATGTCACATGTAAGATACACGGGAGATACATGAAAACATCAAACAACGCAAATAAAAATTACCGTGATTGGCGGTAGTCGCTAATATTAGCGCGATAGTTTCGATGAGGCAGAAAATTTTGTACAACTTCTTCGGAGCATTGAAATACTCCATACAGCATTTCGATGGCACTGGATACTTTAATGTAACTTCCTCATTTGTTTCGTTAATGTGATTATTGTTGTCAATATCCAGAAAAGGGATTATCCCATATATTATGCAACTAACGTAGCAGAAAGACAGCAGTAAATAGAGGAGAAATCGTCCTATAAAAGCATGTTTTCGCATGATGGCACGCTCTTCTGCGTTTTTAACTGTCAGATAATCGTACAGAGCTGAGCTGTAATTGTTCGTTAAGTTGCCTGCATAAATGCGAAACCATACCGTCTTCAGCACACCGAGCGTTCCGCAACAAATTAACATGAGGCAATCTACATTTTGCTCCGCGTTAGTGCAGCCCATATAAAGCTCAATAGAAGGCAAGATTACCATTAGACTCTGTTGTAAATGATATATTTTCTGATACACAGCATTTAGTATTTAAAGAAATAAATCCTTATTTTAATTTAACATATCTTTATAAATATTATTATTTAGACACTAAAAATGCTTGAAACTTGATGAAAAAAAATAATACGTTATATAGTTAGTTTCTTATATGTAATGTCGAAATTTTAGACAAATTGATTCTCATTCACGACGACAAAATTTTGTCTAGATTGAAACAATGTCAAAACAGGAATTTCTCTGTCCAAGTATATTTACAAATGCGGGATATTGATCATCAAAGTGAAAGAAGAAATGCATACCGTGCCACAAATACCCAAACCGCATCGCATTATCGAATAGATGTTATAAGCTTGAAGTGGCCAAACGCCGATGGTCCATGATATTATTTTGAAGGGTGTCATCGCATACGCGATATCATTTTTTCTCTGTGCACTCTTCATTGGGTCGATGTAATGATAGTAACTGATGCCAATAGATAATGCGCTCGGAGTAACAACATAGCGTCTGCACATTTCAATTCATTATTTATTCAGCTTGAGACTTACTGACTTACAGTCAGTATGCACTTTTATACACTTATCATTTTATCACAAAATGTATGAAACTAAACTTTTATGCCAAATTGCCTCGAAGAAATTTACGTGATCACATATTTTATATTAATATCCCTTCGAACAAATTTGTTTCTTTTTACTGAATACAATGTAAGAGAAACTGCGTGTATTTCACTCATTATGCGCTCGCCGACTGCACTACATTTTACTTCGTCTCGACAATTTAATATTATTTTGACTAAATAGTGTAGACTTATAGTGTTAAAAAATAAGAAGCACGAAGTTTGTGTTTAAATGTTAGTTTGATTTAATTTTATTTTTTGAATAAATAAAACCACCGAATTTTCCAAAGCATATAATACGTCATAAATAAATAATTTTGTATATTGCACATATTTTTTTACAATTTTGATATAATAATTTAATAATACTGTTTTATACAAGGTATCTGGAAAAGATTACTAATCTTTCCCAGACACTCTGTACATATAGGGTGTTTTATAATGTTTGTCTAAACACTCCAATGTGATGCTGGTAGCGAAAGTGTTAATTAATATCTCAATTATTATTGCGACAATTGCAAAACGGTAAAGAATTTTTTTTGTTCACTTTACTGCGTTCTATCTGTACACGGCGGACATTATCTCTTAAACATCCTGTATAGTATTAATTATTTTAAAAAAATTTTTATAACTTTTTTATATATTCTGAAAAACTGTCATAATACTTTTTATAATATGGTAATGAATACTCAAATGCAACATTCACGTCTGTTATATTAATTTGGTTATTCCTTACAGCAGCCTCTACCACATATATCACACAATTATCGTAAGAAAAAGATAGCAAGGAACAGCAGAGAATTCTTCCCATAAAAGCGTGTCTTCGCATGATGCTACATTCTTCTTCTTTTTCAATTGTCAGATCTTTCACAGCACAGCCGTAAGTGTCAATTTAGTTGCTTGCATAAATACTATAACATGTCTTTAGCATACCGAGCGCTCCGCAACAAGTTAAAGTAAGAAATTTCATGTTTATCTCTTGCATTAGTGCAATCCATAATATAATTCCACAGAAGAAAAAATCACTAATATATTCTGTTGATATGTATGAATAATGCATTTTTTTACATAGAATTTTAAAAACACACATTTAGAAAAAAATCTTTATTTTGATAGAAATTACTGTTTAAATATTAATAAATCTTCAATACTTGATGCAAAAATGACATGTATCCGACATTTTTTATATGTAACATTGAATTTTTACCAAACTGATTGTCGTTCCGGATACTAAAGTTTTAGCGCAAAGTAATGTAAACATAAAAATTGTCGTACTTATATTTATATTTAATATCAATGATTATCCTCTCATCGTTTACTCGCCATCGATATAATAATTGTAACTGATGCCAATAGCTGACGATACGCGATATATCGGCGGAATGTCTATGCTTTATTTTTTATGCAGTTTGTGGCAGTTTACGCACAACTATCCAGTAATAATTGACATAATTACAATTTTCATATTATTGTTTGTTGAGCGACTGTTTCTTTGTCTTGCATATAATCTAGTAGGAAGTATTTTATATATTTTGCTCACTATATATGAACGCAATTGATTGTAGTTTTGTTCAACTTGACGATTTCGATAATATTTCTACAACATAAATTTAATGTGTCAAAAAATATACAAATATATAACAGTAGTAAATGATTCAATGTTTTCTTTTATTTTGTTGTTAATTATTAAAATAAAGAGACTAATAAAGGATTATATATGACAGATATGCAATTTTTATAGGTGTTCTTTTTTTTTAATAATTGATGACATTAGAAAAATATTTTTTAATGACTATTTGTTTCTTGTTTTTCAATCATAACGCGTAAAGCAGACAAGTAAGATACTGCCGTCTTCAAGATATCCGTGAAGGTGGCACGTGTTACGTAGAAGAATTTTCCGGCTGTTAGACGAATAGATATGTTAGTTTTTAACATAATAAACGCCAGATCTCTTATGTCATTGGGCGAAAAATCGCACCAGTTGCTATCATAAAGGGCAAAGGACAGGGCCTCGCTTTGATCTCTCAAATTATCGCCCGCGTATGAATACAGGAAAGATTGTAGCAACATGACGATCATTATTACAATGCTCTTCACCATCATAATTGTGTCGTGAATATACAAAGATTCGATGAGCCCGAAACCTTAAATCAGTAAATTTTATTGTTAGATTAGTTTTTTCATTATTAATTTAACTAACTGCTACTCCGCTACGCTTGCTAACAAGTAAAATAGAATGCAGAAAATTTTATGTTTGTAAGAATATTATTTAGAGCAAGCTGATCCAAGTTCAGCGTGCGCAGAAATCATTTATTGTCCATCCGCAATCATTCACGCCGTCGCAGCTTGTTCTAATGACGATAAGCATATATAAAGAAGGAGAATACATAATTATTACATTTAATCTATAAATTGTGCTTCGGCATATGTGCCGGTGATTATAAAAGTGGACTGAGTCAAAAATTAAAAAAAATTGATTTTATCACTTATTTTGTGTCATATCGATCTACAAAATCGAAATATCTCAAAATAAAAAATCGAAATTTTTTATTTAGTCTACTTTCATAATCACCGGCATATATCCTCTTTTGTTTCTGTCTTTCTCAGTGAAATAATGAAGTTATCAAGAGACACGGTCGAGTTTTGCGCCATGTATATGCGCAGCGAAGCCGACCGTGTATCTATACACGATGATTAAATGCGAAGGGATAGTGGAGTGTGGTCAAGTGATCCAAAATACTTCATTTTGTCAATAGTAAAATGAAAAAAGTTCCTGTTTAGATTAAGAAATGAAAGGATAGTGGAACGTCTCGAGTGGTCCGACAGAGAGAGAAAGAAAGAGAGATATGCGCTATTTTCTTAAGAATGCCAATAAAATAGAATAGATGAAAGGTTTTATTAAGACAAAGCGCGATGATTCACGTAAATGATTTTGCATATCTATTATCGCAATTTGAGTAATTTAAAATACTGCTTGAGTAGAGTAGAATGCAAGTTTTATTAAAATAAAGTGCAATTATGTATGTATATAAAAAAAAGGTAAGAAAAGACTAGTACACGTGCTTGTCGAAATATTATTATACGCACGCAAAACAGCATTGTTTTAATGTAGTTCTACAAAAGATGTGATAGATATAAAAAAACTGGCGCTAACTAAAAATAAAAAATTGTATACATAAAATTTAATTTTTCCATTTAATGCAAAATATATTTAATATTTAATGGAAAAAGACTTGATGCGGCTAGATTTCAAAATATTCTAAAATACAAAAAAATGGATAAAAATTATTTTATTTTAATATTACATAATCGTGTAATATTATTAACGTGATTTAACAATATGTGTTAATTATACATTTAATATTCAACATTCATACATATAATATTCAACTGCACTAAATAATTAACATAACAGATTATTTCACATAATAATACAAATAATTAACATGTTTAATCTAGCAGCGCCGAGTATTTTTCCATTAAATGTTAAATATATTTTACATTTTTGGAAGAATAATTAAATGTCTTTTTGAATATCATAAGCTTCTTCATGCATAAAAATAATTATAAAAAAGCTTGTAAACTTACCTGTTATACATATCAAAATGGCACTGGTGAGAGTTTGAGTCAAAATTATCATATTATAGGAATCTTCGATGGTCTCTGTAAGTCTTAACAATTGTCGATGCCTAACGACGAGTTCTTTAAAGATACTGCCTCTTTTGCACTCTTTCTTGTGCTGATCAATCTGCCGAAAGTCGATCATTAGAAGTTCAAGCTGCCCGCACAGATGCATCGTGATACCGACAAAAATCCCTTCCGTACAGCAATTTCCAGCGTACGTGATGAGCAATTGAACTACCTGATAGAACGTAATGAGAACATATTGCAGATTGGAAACCGACTTGAAGAGGCAGGATGTCGGAAGATAAAACACCCTTTCATTGGTCCCGTTTACGAACGGCAAGAGCTTCAACATGTAAAGCATAAAGGCGAAGAATCCGGAATAAAACAATGATAATGAGATTATTCTCGCCGTGCGAGCATGATAGATCATGATATCGCGCGATTTCACATTCTTCACGCTGTACCAATCCTGGACAGCGGAGTAAATGTTGATCGAGAGTGTGGATCGTTGCAAGCGCAGCAGAGTGAGTTTGACAATTACCAATATCGCGCTTGCGAGCACCACATATGTATCAATCGGATCCTCGGTGGTGTTCTTGCAAGCGAGATACACGTCCATTACGAGTGTTGTCACCAGCAAAATCTGAAATAATTGATTATTCTGATAGATCGGTGTATTTATCCTCCTTTGATCTTCGTACTTGCAAACTAAGAAAGTTGACAAAATTATTTTTTTTTTCTCAGTTTTTATATCTTATAATACATTAAAAATTGTCTAAATTCTCGTAAAATAAAGTACAAGTAACATAAATATTTTTATACATTTTTTAAATTATCTAAATTTGTATAATAATAATTAAAAGGTTATAAAGATCTATTACAATTAACTATTGCATTAATCGCGCTGCATTAAATAATATTATATTGATACACCAATTTTTTTATTTTTAATAAGCAATATATGATCAGGTTTACCAAGAATAAATACTTTCTGCCGATTTCCTTACCTCGCTTATGATCGCAAATAGCCAACGTATTCTTGAATAAAAAGTGTCATCCTCAATCGGCCACGCTCCTACAGGCCATGCCAAAATTTTGCAACTCGACAGCGCGTAAGCAGCATCCTTATTCCAATAGACCATCCTCGAAGCGCACCATGCAGTGATTTCAGACAGATCACGTAGATATGCATCTTTAATAGCGCATAGCAAGGTAATTAAGCATTAATATTCCCTTCATTAACCGATTCACCACGCTGATATCACTACGGCGCTGGCACTTATAGTGTCTCTTCGTCATCTATTCTAACTGTCTCTCACATCCTAGAACTATTGATCCTCGAGAATAGGTGGCGGCATTATTCGCGCATTGAGATGTATAAATGTTTAAAGATCCCGCCGAGTAGGTCGGCAAATTGCTCGATCATTGTATCATTCCTTTACAATTTTCCAATATCCCTCAAATTGTTTAACATGCATAAAAAATATTGTACGCGGAATTCGCGACCCGTGCAATTTGTCAAGAAGCGCGGAGTATACACTGTTGTTTGATATTCTTTCAAATAATATGTACTTACGAATACACATTATCATGAAAGTTTAACGTCCACGTATCGTAAATGTATTACAGCTTCCAGTAAAAGTTTGCGACATTTTGAAATATATAGTAAACTATATAGATAGTCGAATTGAATTAAATTTATATTTCTTTATATAGATGAAGTGCATGTCAGTTCCATGTGTTGCTACAGTATTTGACAACACAGTAGTATACTATATTTGTGAAAACAGCTCTGTCAAAATTGACTTAAATTCCAAAATGTAAGTATCTCCAAAATGTAAGTAAGATTTATGCTTTTTAATATATTCTAATAATTAATTGTTTATTTCGTAATTTTATCAACATTTAAAATAACAGTAAAATACAAGCAAAAAAGATAAAGAATAGTAAACTCTGTGACGTATAAAATATAATTATATTCTATTCTATATCAGCAAATGCTGTAACACTATAAGTAAACAAACAATTATAAAATAATCTGATTATACTTCCATTGTCACCTGTAAGAACGATATGTATGCTACGGCAGTTTTTAAAATGTCTGTTGTAGTTCTCCTTGTTATAAAAAAAAATTTCCCAGCAGTGAGCTGAAGAGGAATCTTCGTTCGCATCATAATAAGTATCAAATCCTTCACTGCGGTGTACGGCAATTCGTGCCACGTTGTGTTATATATCGCCGAAACGATCGATTCGCTTTGATTCTGCAAAGTATCGCCGGCGTGTGTAAACAGGAAAGATTGTATAGTATAGTACTGGATAAACATTATACTTTTTATCACATCAGTATAATTTTGATGTTTAAAAGACACTAGACAACGAATTCCTGAAAAAAACTGTGTGTTTCTTTAAATTCACTTAATATATATAATATTAAATACAATTAAATATACATATATTTCTTGTCAGTGTTTAATATGACACTTGTTTACTTTGATATTATTATTTTATAGAAAAATTCTGTAAATTTGAAATATGGAAATTTTAATATATTGTATAATGTTTTTTTTATATACATTAAAACTACAATGGGACAAGAAAATGGTCAATTAAAACAATTAAATATATATATATACCTGATATCGCAACTGTAAAAGTAATTATTAGCATACGAATCAAAATAATGATATTGAAGGAGTCTTCAATATTTTTAGCCAATGCTATAAGTTCGTAATGCCTTTTGATCCAAGATCTTAAGTTATTTCGATAATGATTCTTTTCATTCATTTTTTTTCCAAGTTTATTAAAATGAATTCTCAAAAGCTCTAGTTGACCGCAAAGGTGCATAGTAATAGCAAAGAAAAAGCTATCAATCGCGCACTCCGATATGAAAAGTATGAACAACTGTAATAACTGAATAATAAGAAGTAGTTTATACATGGAATATGAAATCCCGCTAAAGAAACATGTTGCTGGAAGGATAAAATTCCACAAAATTACGGTGTTGTTACCAATAATTACAACCTATCAAAAAATAGAATATTATAATACTTATTATAATAGAATTAATAATATCGCACATTTGCAAGAAAAATGACACAAATCAAAAATATCAAATTGTTCAGGATGTGTGATATATATAAAAATATAGTAAAAAAGATCTTGACAGTACCTGTTGTTTATTTGCCGTGATAATGGAGAAGTAGTATATCAAAGTGGCTACAAGCGCAAACACTGGTTGGAATACGACGATTACTCGACCGATTCGTGCGTACCTTGCCATTATTACGTTAGTATTTTTCTTTATCAACGAAAAGGACCAATCGTCAACAGCAGAATTCACATTTTTGGCAATTTTTTTCATATAAAAACGCGAGGAAATAACATTTATCAGCGCGTGAAAACTGGCTTCCATGAAAAGAAACATCTCCAAAGAATCTTTGGCATTTCCACAATTTTGGTAAGATTCTATCAGCATGACGATTATTGTGAGAGACTATATGATAGCAAAGGCTCTGCTTTATAAGTGAATATGTTGAATTAGATAGTATAAAATTCTGAATAATAAAAATATAGGACTTTATTTGAAAATAAAATTTGCACAAAAACTTGATTTAAATTAGAAGTAAAAATCTTACAATATAAATCTTTAATAAAATTTATTTATTAATTTTTTAAAGAAAGAATTGATGACAAAGATGATTTCTCAAGTTCCAAAAACGTAAAGGTAGCAGTAAAAAAATTGGCCGAGATGTTCTAGTTTGGACAATTATTATACGAATTTTTTTTTTAATTTTAAATATAAATATGTTCTTAATTTTACCATAATTTACTATTTACATTTAAAATATAAAATTAAGTATTATTTTTTTAAACTATGTTCTCTTACCTCTAATATCAATATCATAAGATAACGAAATGTGCAGACCAAATCATTCTTCTGTAAAGGCCATATACCGAGTATCCACATCATCTTCCTTAATTCCGAAAAACCATATTCCATACCACTGTTCCAATCTGACTTCATGAAGATACGCTAGTTTGTCTCTCAAAAAAATTGTAGTCATGCGTGACTGAATATAACTCGATCTATAGAATGTACGGCTTCGAAAGGAATTACTGTTCTCGATGCTATTACTTGTTGATCGATCGGTCTTTATGGCAGTAAGATAAATGATTGAACAAATTTGCGTAACCATACATTCTTGCAAAATTGTACATTTATGTATTCTTTTTTATAATGCGCACAATTTTCTATGGTCTGCGATAGTTTCGTAATTCACCGAAACTCTTAAATGATTACGAACGAAATAACAACATTGTTCACTGGACTTATAGCGTCTGTTAGAAATATTGATCGCGTCATTATATTGTAAGAAAAAAAAAGAAACTTTTTTAGTTTTATTTTCAGCTTATGTTTGCAATAAGTTTCGATACTATATAGAGATATTGATAACATGTCTAAAAAAAAGTTTCACATAACAGTAAAATTCAAGTATAACGGTTAAGGAATAGTAAACTGTAATGTACTGAAATATAATTTATAATCTATTTTATATCTACAAATATTGTAATACAATAAGTGAACAAATGCAATAAAATAATTAGATTATTTTTCCATTGTCATCTGTAAAAACGATATGTATGTTATGACGGTTTTTAAAATGTTTGTCGTAGTTCTTCTTGTTATATAAAAAAATTTCCCAGCAGTAAGCTAAAGAGGAATTCTCGTTTGCATCATAATATGTATGAAATCCTTTATTCTGGTGTACGGCAATTCGTGCCACGTTGTGCTATACATATATCGTCGAAACGATTGATTTGTTTTCAGTTTTTATGCACCAAAAGTAAAACTGTTTCATGACTGTTTTTTTTTTTGTTTACGTAATAGTTAACGAAACTAATAAAAACCAGGTATGTCTTTTTACATAAGTCATTAGTGTAGTTTTAACCTTAATAGTCAAATTACTATTGCATATTTATGGTTTTCAGTTATAAAGTAATATTTCAGCCGACAACAGTATAAGACTAGTTAGGCCAAGAATCTCAATTAACCCCGCAACTAAACTGAGATAAATTAAATGAAAAATCTGGCTTTTTTTACTGTTTTTTTTATTAATGTAAAAATAAAATAATTTCGAAATTCAACAGATTAAAAGCAAAGAATAAAAAGGGCTAATGAGATAAACTAGTTCTTAATTGTATAACAACGATTAAACGTTTCATTCAAAGTTCACTTCTGGTACAATAATTATTTGCATTAACTGCAACAATAATAACTTTTAATTTAAAATATATAAAAAGGTTTTAAAGATTATTTCAAAAATTAATCATTTTTTTACTGAAAATAATCTTTTATTCTTATTTTAAGAGATGAATTTTAAGTTCAACATGCTCCATAAGTGAAATACATTGAGCCGCTCTGATTTTCTGTATTCAAAACAAATTTTTTTTATTTACAAAATACATTAAGAATTTATGAGTGCTTAATTATTGAGCTAGATAAACATGCAACGTTTTAAAGCAATGCTCATTAGTCTATTACAATTATATGAAGATTTATAATAGTTTTAATAAAAAGTTGTCCAATTAGCCCCGCTCTACTTTACTTATGCATACATATTATTGTGAAAGTCTAACATCCACGTATCATAAATGTGTTTTAGCTTACAGTAAAAATTTGCAATATTTTGAATTTATGGTAACTATATAGATAGAATTGACTTAAATTTATATTTCTTATATAGATGACACAAGGTGACACAGATGTGCATGTCAGTTCCATATATTGGTACAGTATTTGACAACACAATGGTATACTATATTTGTGAAAACAGCACTGTCAAAATTGACCTAAATTTCGAAATGTAAGTATTTCCAAAATGTAAGTAAGAGAGAAATTTATGCTTTTTAATTCATAATAAAAGTAAAAAATACAATAATAAATATAAAATTAAATTTGTGAACATCTAATTTGCACAAATTAACTGAAATATTTATTATTTCATTAATTTTTTATAAAGAATAAGATTAAAATAGTAATTTTACTAAAAAAAATTATTTAATAATTACAACTGCATACTTTTAAATATATATTAAGCAACTCGTAAATAATATAAATTTGTGAATTATGTAAATGCTATTTATTATTAATTGTTTATGTATTATAAATTATCAATTAATTT